ATTCTATTCTATTCTATTCTATTCTATTCTATTCTATTCTATTCTATCATGGAAAGACAATAATTACTGGTTTATTGTAAAGCAACTTACTTTTACTGGTTATAGCATAAATTTAGCACTGATTATCTTCCGACTATAGCTACACAAAGTTTAAACAAAAGCTACCAACAAAAAAATAAAAAATGAAAAAAAATCGTATGTGTATACAAAGCCCCAAATTGCCAGAAGGGAACTGTAAGATATAACAGAAAAGACAAGAGAGCTGAAATAGTGTTTAATACATTTGTCTCAGCAGAGAAATAAGGAAAAATCAGATATTAACTTATTGCTGTAATACAGTCCGAAAATATACATTTGCTACAAGAATACTACATATATTCTGATGGCAATAATTTGTTGAAATTGCATGCAAAATTATATAATAATTTCTGCTGCCCGTAATTCAAAATACATCAAAAAGTCCATTTTTTATCCCTGGTACCTAATATTATAAATGTTATAGTGTTATAAACTATTTATAAATGGCTTGAGCAGTTAAAAAAGGGCTTCCTACCCAGATTCTAAACATTTTAGAAAAACTGCAAATGAGTTATCACTCTATAGAAGATGTTATTAGATATTATTACCTGGATTAGATTTATAGTAAAATCAATTGCAATCCAAAAAAATTAGGATGGGGTGTCAAACCCACGTGGTCGCGGCGACATCACGGCATACCAGGAATTTCCCCCCCTTCGCTAAACCGGGCATGAGCATAGCCAGCACATGATGCATCCAGCCCACAGGCCGGGAGTTTGACAGCCCTGATTTAGGATGTCTCTATTGTTGTCTCTCAATCATATACTGTTGTAACCTTCTGCCTTTAAAAAAAAAAAAATTACAGAACTCCCAGCCAGCATGGGTTTCTACAAATTCATTGTGGGGTTGGGAAAGATTGAGCAACTGGCATAATCTATCTAGCACTCTTTATAGTCCCCATTCATTTAACTAGGAAGAAACTGCTCAGAACACCTAGGGAATTCTGACCTTAACTAACTGAATATTCAATAAAAACAGCTTCTTAAAATAAGAGCCAGCAAAATAGTATCTCTACTTCTCCTGTTCAAAGTAAGTAACTCTGGAGTAAGCTGTTACTTTTTAGACCTTCAGGAGAAACTAGCAACACTTATATCATAAGTTTTATAAGGTGAATTTTCAAATTTTAACTTGTTTTCAAAACATCTTTTCTCACAACATGTACACAATTTTATTCTTTATCCTTGGAGAAACTTTGCCATCTACTTCTCTCTCAACATATCTGAATCAAAGGCCAAATATGAAGGGTACATTTTTTCACCCCGAGTTATCATAGAACACACTATCATGATCTATTGACATCCTTTTATCCAGCAATTTAAATGGCTTTAAAAAGGATCGGACAAAATGATCACATACAAGATTAACAGTTACTATCCATGTTAATTATATAGCACAGCTCTAAATGATAAGACAATAGAGAATTATGGCAAAGGGCAATTGCTCTATCCTGCTTACAGACTAATGCAATCATCTAATTCATTCCTATAGAATGATGGTCAAGATAGGCCTTAACTTTACAGTGCTCTATTCTTACATTCTTAAGATAATACCATGCATTAGAAATTGCACCTTCTCTGTTCAGGAATCTCAAGTTTAAAACTGTTAACTTTAACGGTAAAATTATTAAAACATTTTCCTAGAATTTAGAGCTAGTCTTCAAGGGCATCGGCACAGAATATACAAGGATGTGATATTTCAAATACCACAAAAATTATCAACCAAGATTACAAGTATTTAAATGGCAACAGTACACTAATCTCCTTGCCACATGGCTGAATGTTTATTTACATTGCAAACAAGCCAACTTTAGTCTCATATCTTCTATTTTCCCATATTAACTATTAATTTCTCAAAAACTGAAGAACTTGTATTCAATTCAGGGACTCCAAACACACATTCATTCAACTTAAGAAGTGCCTTGAAATAATTAGCGTATCATGTGAGTTGGGAATAATTAGTTTCTTGGGATTGCAATGGATATGTCAAACAAAAAAGGACAATTACCTTGAAAAAGCAAATTCCATGCTGGGTATATTATTAAATGAACAGAATTAAATTGCCAACATGTTAATATTGCCACACTTTGTCTAGCACTTCTGATCACTGTACCAAACCTTTTCTTAGTAGAATATGAGGTCATGAACTGAAGTTGAATCAGAAAAGATCAAGTATAACAAAGAAGGCAGATAAAATTATGAGATTCACAACTATAAATAGCTAGAGTTTAGACAAATTCTAAAAGGACACCAATGGCACTAATTGTGGTGACTAGATATCTTAAGTTAAAACAAAACAAAAGGACAACTTGCCTTTTAATATTGAGTTGTTTTAAACACAAACAGAAGAGGCCTTTAATTTGACCCAGCATGGGTCTTCCCAATCTAACTTCTTCTCCCTCATTTTATACAAAGTTATTTCTGTAAGACATTCTCCTCCATATAGAATTTTAGGATTACCAAATTTAACCAAACATCATATTAAGATAAGCTTGCTGTAAGGCAAGAACTCTCAGTCAAAATTGGGTAAGATACCTGCCTTGTGCCAACATATACTATTATGGATCTGCATATGTTCTTGATTATTCTAACACAAGAATGAAGGATACAACCACTTATAAAGAGTGTAGAAGGTTCTCCTCACACTCACACTGACTAAAATTCTCTTTTTGAGCTCAGATAGCTTCGATGGAATCCATGCAAAATTTCATACTTTGTTGTAAGAAGTTCCCTTTTAATTCCTAGCATTGAAGGGGCAAAATAAAAACTTTTAAAAAAATATCCAAGAGCTACTTCTGACACATATTGCCTTCCATGTCCAAGGAAAGAAATTAAAACTGTAAGTATTTTTAGAGGGGGAAAGCCTTAAACAATTTACCATTGAAAACTGAAATTTCAAGGAAAGAGTATATATTTAAAGGCAAAGTTTCAACCAATTACTGATTGCATAGATGAGCATCAGACAAACAAATTTAGGGAAATTTCATCTCCGTTTCAATTTAAATTAAACCTTACTTTAACTTGTAATGGCTGTTGACTCTAATATATTGTTTCTTTAGTCCAAAGAATCAAAATATTCCTGAATGGAGACAAATAATGCATAATACACACCTGTATCCCTCTGACAAACCATTCATCATCTTTCCATTGGCTTAGTCAAAACAATTCTAAATATGATCCAGATGTTAAGATTTCCAGCTCATTACATTATACAAGAAATTGTGTATGAATGATTAAGGTTCATGAACAACATAACAAAGGTATACTGTACATCCTAAGTTTAAAAATGTGCTTCATGTTTTCAATATATGCCTTTAGCAGGAATCATTAGCCTATTTGTAAAGGGAAGGTAGAAAAGACAAGAAAGATAAAGATGTTAAAAGGGGGGGGGGCGTTGATAGCAAGAGACAATTTGCTATGTCAACCACCAATCAGTGTGCATAGCCTCCATGAGATTACTCCTGAAAGAATGTAGCCCTTGCCAATAAAAAAAAGGTTTATTGTACATCATACAACTTCCAGTCACCCACATGACAATATTCTCATAAATCATTATGAAAATGAGCTTCCTCAGCAAAAAAAAAAAAAGCAAGTGTTTTACAACACTTACTAGATAAAATTTAAATCTCCCCAAAACAGAAGTAATATTTAAAGAAAAAAATATTGAAAATTAGCAAATGTAAATTTTTAGGAAGCTTCCAGACTATTTTCTACCAAAATGCAAAATAAAATATAAAGCACAATGCACATTCTTGCAATGTAATATACAGCACTTTAGTATTTTGTATTCAAATAAATGTTAACTGCCTCAAACAGTGCATACCCTGGATAAAACATCTGTTAAGCACCAATCCTATACACATTCATCTGAATTTCCCTGGACTTTGATCTGAGTACAGGACTAAATTATGAAAGCAACACTGAACTGTGATGAAAGTAACTAAAGGAGAGCCTGCTCTAATGTATTTTGTTATCACTATCTGTAACAGATGCTTGTCAACATGTACACATTGAGGTCATATTTAAGCTAAAGGCAATCTTACGTAAATTAAAGCTAGCTCTCTGTAGGTTTAGATCACCCATAAAACCATATAGTAATATTAAAAACTGATGGTAAATTGGAGCTATATAGATTTAGCAAATGAGATAGTGTTTGTTATTCATTGTGTAAAGTCATTCAAGAATGTGTCCTCAGAAAACATGTTAAAATACTTCCAGTGGAATCAAAAGTTGTTCAAATATGTATAGCTCAGGTAAAACAGTTTCTGCATTTTTCAGTTTTCCTGCAAATTGAACAGTCTTAATATGAAATGAAAGGGAAAACGATGTTAAAACAATGGAATTGGTCATTTGTAGAAGAAGAAAGCTAACTTATGACGTATTCCTACAGAATACACACTGGAAGCTTCTGGAAAATTAGAAAATGGTCACTAAAATTGTGGTTGCTGAAGAAATACTTTGGCACTATGAAACAGAAGAAATAGGATTAAGTGGGGAGCCCATTTGGGTAAGTACTTTATCCAGCCACTGAAGAGGCCCATGAAGATGGATTTCTATCCAACACGGGGTGCTTGTAACATCTTGTCGGTGGTATTCTGCTCCCCATCCCTATAAAGAATGATATGAATTTAACTGGATTAGAATTAGACACTGGAACAACTGATTAATACAACAATTTCCATTTTTAAAAAATGATTTGGTTTGAAAAATGTAATGCTTATCTCCATCCCATTCAACCAAAACATGTCATTTAAACCATCAATCCCTAATGTCTCCTAGTTTTGTTGGAACACAATTTATAATATTTTTACTTATGATGGGCACATGATGATATGATGCAAAACTACAACTTGGCAGAAACTGCAATCATCACTGACCACTCATAAATTGTACTGGAATTGTGATTAATTATCCCCTAAGTAGGTATATTCCCACCCCATTTTTCTGTGAGGGAGGAAATAATACTATTTATAAGGTCAATAGAAAGAAGTGGGTAATCTTCATCCTTATTTCATCCTGCAAATGAATAAATGGAAAGACATCTAGCCAACTATCCATTCATTGTTATGTATATATTTAGGCATCTATCCTACTATCTATACATCCTTCTAACTTATTCACAACAACAAAGAATAATAAATATGAAATGCTGAATTAACTCTGAGGATTTGCTAATTAAACATAGCAAAATTGCCAAAATCTGTTATATGTTAAAATTGCAGTCCTATGTAATATATTCCAGATATATTTCAAGCAGATACAATATTGTAAATAACGAATATACCATGTCTTACCTTTACAAAACTCATTCGAATTGTGCACATTTTGGTGAGCTCATATACTGCCTCAAATCCATGATTGACTGATTGAGCTAGAAGCTGAGCAAATTCCTGATTGTTAAAAATTTTAAGACTACAGCCACTGGGAATCTTGCATACAGTTGTAGGGTGAAATCCATGATGATAATTACAATTCCTACTTTGTACGAATATGCTGCTGTCACTCAGGCATTCTGCATAGACTTCCCCACCAACATAATACAGATGAACGCCTAGGGGAAGGAAAAAAATCCCAAATATTTAACAGAGTTAACTTGAAAAAAATGATTATAGCCTCTTCCTTTCAGCTGTTAGGAACCCTAGCCAAATTTCTATTTGAAAGGATTCCAATTGTTTCCAGTTGTTTAAATATGTCAAGTATATCATTTCAAACACCAAATATCTTAACCACTAGATGTCCTCATCTCCCTTCACTCAATACATGATAGAATTATTCAATAAATGATAACGTATTTTTTTCTTGTCTCATCAATTGGGCTTAGTGTGCAGGCATGCTGGTATGGGAGATGGATTTTAGGATTTTAAGTCATCACCAACACTTTGAATTGTATCTGGAAAGAACTTGCATGACTTGTAGAACAAGTCTTTATAAGGAACGGACAGTTAACATCCATTATTGCTCACCGCTACCCAATGCTGTTTTGAAAAGCTTTTCCAAGATAGTCCCAAGGAAAATACGTAGTAATAAAATCCAATCTAAAATTAATCCATATTGTGTATCTGCTCTTATCAGGAACGGATACAGGTAACAAGCCAACTGACATTAAACGATGCTGTCTCCTAAAATTCTATGTGCAAAGCTAAATCCAGAAGCATCTAAAGACTACAAACTGATTTTTTTCAGAAGATGCTATACCTTGATTTGGGCTGCATTCTGCCAAATCACCCTCTGTATCACAAGTATATTCAAGGATATTTTAGGAACTATGCAATGTCTTTCAAACCAGAAAAATAACCTGTCATGTTTAGCTATCACTGTCCCCTTCAGCTCTTAACTTTTGTTTTATTTTCAGTATGACTTGTTATGAGAGTCAGGAGATCTGTACAAATAGTACAAGAGATTACAAAATAATTAACTATTTGTTTACCATTAAATCTTTAGTGATAAAAGTCTTAATAGAAATGTTTTGATTCAATGTTTCATTTACAAAGTTTGTTTGTTTTCAAGCTGAATTGTTCAGATTTACAGTATTTTTTCATGTGTCGTATTATCAAAACTGTATAATTGCATTTAATTTATCCAAACTGCAAACACAGTCTATTTACAATTATATAAGCATACTTCAGGATTACCTTTTCCAATGTGTCTCCGAGTGTTCTCAATTGTTGAGTTACGATTAACATTGGACAGCAAACCTAAGCAGAACCTGTTTTTGTTGTTAGAAGGATCTGTAAATCCATCCACTAAGATACTGGTAGAAGATGCATGAAAAGCCTCCCCAACACGATTGTTTAGTTCGTAATACACTATGGAACACCAGTGTTTGGGTTCTTCATAGGCCACAGGATGAACATCTATGAACAAACATGAAATACCTGTAATAATTCCAGCATTTACAGTCTCTTGCCTACAGTATTAAGCATTTATGCATTTTTCTTATTGTTAAAGAACTTCAGTTATATTCCTGCAGAAATCTTCCTAACAGGTCGCACCATTAACAGCAGGCTATAGACAGTATAGACTATATACTATGACTAGACTCCAGGATCCTGAATTAATTAGTGAGGTATAAATATATTAATTGAAAGAACAGCAGCAAATCTTCTGAAACATTTTAAGAGAACTTATTTCTTTAGCTAAAATTCAAATTGTGAAAGAAATATTTTTTCTAAAGATTTTCACTTACAAATAACAATAATAAAGAATTAATGCTACTTTGCATAGCTGGCATGCTTAATATATGTTGAAACATTCAACAGAAGTTAGCTACTCTTTTGAAGAACAGGCCTATAAATGATATCCATTAAAAGAAAGTTCCAATGCTACTACTATTACAGCAAATGAACGATATTTTATGTTATCCTTTTCCAAATTCCAAGTAGTTATTCTCCTTGGCATAGCCTTGAACCTTCTCTTATCAGCAGTTTGCAACACAGAAACAAATGGCCTGGAATGCAGTTTCAACTTCTTATATATGGGAATTAACAGTGTGAAACCCTCAAAATTATCCCTTAAATTCTATTTAACTGCAACTTGCTTTTAAAACAAAATACTCTCAGGTCTGTATTTCCCTCACTCTTTTTGAACCCATGATTCAGATGAAAGGATAAAATGCTGATCAGATGACATTATGTTCCTCTTTCTAGTCAACAAATTCTCTGTATCTCTAATGACCAAATTCTTAAATGTAACAATCTCACCCCATGTAGACAAGACAGTGTGAGATGCTGCACTTCACAAACTAAATAAAAGCTGTGATAATAATTTATCTTCTTTCTTCATATTATAAGTGGCAAATTATCAAAAAGTTTCAAAATGTTAACAAGTTTATAAAATCACAAGTTTAACTCACCTCTGCTCGAAATATTGGGCATGATCTGAGGAATTATACTATTGCTTGTATCCATAGACTGTGAAGTATCTTGACCCATTTGGTCTTCAGGAGGCATATATGCAGGCGGTGGTGTATCGGCTACAAATGAAAAAAAGAAAGAATACTTGAGCAGTATTAGTACATTTACCTTGAACTATCCAGTTTTTTTCAACTATAATCACTACTTGTATTTTCTGTCATTTTCTATCTCTTTCTATTTTTGTTGGAATCTAACAATTTTCTATCATGAAAATGTTTTTATTCTCAGTTGAGGTTTCTATGGGCCTCATTCGCTTCCTTTGCCAGTCATTTATGTCACAATCTATCTTGCTTCATCTATTTCATTTTCTTGGGATTAGAAACCACCAGCAGATTCTCCATCTGATATATTAACTTAAAAGCTGTTTCCTTGATATTAATGAGTTTTATCAAAGTGGATTTTAGGATTAATTATAAAAGGTTTCTCATTTTGAAACTTATTTTACTACATAGTTATTGCTGCCACTATTATCTGCTTTCGATTTAGTCTCTGAAGCTCTACAACCTTTTCTTCCTCTTCTTTCTGGTTGCTACTCTCCCTCAATCAATGTCTACTTAATCAACTTGAGTAAAAATATAGCATAAACTAAATGTAATTCTAATTTCCTCTGGTTTTATAATACAAGTTCTACTTTTCAACATTAGTCATACAAATAGCCCTTACCTGGTAGTTGAAATGGGCTAGATGGTCCAGAACTAGCTGGAGAACTTGGATAGGTACTGCCACCTGGAGATGGTGGGTATGGACTATTTGGAGACATGGGAAACGGAGTGCTATTGGGTTGTTGGAATGAATCTGGAAAGGTAGCATTGTGTGGCATATGTGGTTCATTGTGAGTTAAGTTTCTAAACTGAACCAAAAGGCTATGCTGTGGGTTAAATTCACTGTGCCTTGGCACCAAGACTGGAGGTAAAACTGCAAAAGAAAAGAAAACATATTAAAATAGGGTTCAAGATTTACACAGGTCATAATTAACTCTTGAGGAGTAAAAGTACAAAGAAAGAAGCATATGCCAGAAACTTATTGTTTCTCTACTTGGAAGAGTTACTACCGAAATGTACAACTTGAGTGACAAGGCCAGGTGTTGCTCCAGAGTCTTGAGGCCCCCAAATTTCCTCCTGAAATTGTTGCTCAATTATAACTTTTAATGTAACAAGAGTAAAAATCATTAAAAGCATGAGAATTATGACTACTAATATTTAAATCGAATCAAGAGGTTTTGCCCTGGGCTCTCCCCATTTTTCTTAAATTCTATCCAAGTTCCCCACTAAAGGCCTTGAATTTGAAAAAGTGCAAACCCTATGAAGATTATGAGTGACCAATCCATTTGCAATTTAAAATTGTACAGCTTTTCTGCATTAACTAAGACAACTGCACAAGATGATTGAACAACTGTGACGTTAAATAACAGAAAGTGTGAAAAAAAATATTTCAGGAAACATTTTCCAGATTTTCAATTATAATTGAAAAAAGATGAAAAGATTGCTATGAAAATTTACCTTATTTAACAATACAATCATCAAATCAATTGATATTGTTTATCACCAATCATTTCAAATAGCATAAAATTCAGGGAGGAAACAGTCAAAAGCAAGGTTCATATACTTCACTATGCCATTATGGAGTTCTGTTTTGGTTTAAAGCAATGGCTGTATCAGCATGGTTTGTAGACTATGTATCATCTATGGACCTGGCTATTAAGAGGACGCTCAACAATTTATGGTAAAAGCAAACCAAGGGTTGATGTAATAATGTGTGATTCTGCTCTACAAAGTATCAATGTTCCCAGATGCAATTCCCATGTACCAATTTGTCCCTCCCATTTTCAATTTGCTGTTTTGCAGCAAGTCAACTATTTTGGGTGGGTAAAGGCATTGAAACACACCTGGGCTCTCCACCCTTTTGTAATGGTATGGATTGATGCAAACTTCTTTCTGTTTAGATCCAAAAGGAAATTCACAAATGTCCAATGGCTTCAACTCATGATGACTTTGCAAATCAGGCCAACGCCACACACGGCAGTAAATCACATGGGGAAGGCCTTTGCGGTGTGACACTTGAAGTCGCCCATCTAATGAACGAGGAATTGTAACACATTTGCTGGGTTGTCCAGGAGTACTTAGTGCCTTTTCCAGTTCCTCCATGGCTCCTTTTTTCTTCTTTAGTTTTTTTACCAAAGCATCAACTGCTTTTTCTGCCCATTTTTCTTCTTCATCGCCTTGTTTCCAGCCCAACAAGCGCTTTACAGCTGGGCTAGTAAAAGAGAACAGACTGGCCATTGAGGTCATTTGACAAGTTTTAAAGCAATTTTTAGAACAAAACTGCTGATTCTCTGACAAAAAAATAACTCCGCAACTGCAGCAATGGTTAAATTCTTTTTAATCCAAGGAAGTGACTTTTCTTAGACCTATAAGAAAAATTATAGAACATCAGTTGATGCCAGCTTATCAGAGAAATGAAGGCAAACACAGAGAATAATTTGATAATTTTAAACCTCATTATATTTAAATCCCATATGATGCATATTATTAACAGCCTTTTAATTTGAACCAATTTTCATGCCATGGGGATAACACTTAAAAGACAAAACAGTCAGTGGCATTAACAAAGGAAGTCCTTTGAGCCAAACTCTTTCTTTCGTTCACAAGGGCCAATCATTTCATTAAACAGGAAAAAAAGCTTGGATTTTTTTTAAAAAGATAAATGAAAATGTTTTTTAAAACATCAATCAATTTGAAACTGAACTGTTACTGAAATGCATAGTATATCTTACGAGAAGATGGGCATCTATTAAGACAGCTGTGGAAATACTCTGGTGATTTCTGAACTGTTTAAATGATAGCAATTAGGCACTGGAAATCCTCTGGTGACTAGATACTGACAGCAATTAGGCACACTGTACACAAGAGATTCTGTAATAAAGTTGCAGTTCTGAGAAGCCACCATAGTTTCTGAGGTTTTACTCCTACCGTTCCTTTCTTTTAACTTATCCTGAACTTGGTGTTGTGATCAGGGTCATAAAAGAAAATCTATGCCTTTTGAAGAGACCACTGTGTGGATTTCATTTAAAGGAATAGAAGCAGTGAATGATCAATGGTGTAATCAGCAGTACAAAAATGAGCATTCTCTGGCAAAGGAACCAGTGAAGCCCCTTGTTGGGGAACACTGCTCAGGCCCCAAGAGAGTCAATCTGGCTTGCTGAAGAACAGAAAAATATAATGCTGAGTTACACACAGCCCCTTTTTTTTGTTACTAACAAGGTCCATCTGCAACTCTCTTTAAAAAATAAAAAGGAGTAAGGATGACAAACGGAACTAATGTGCTGTGGCAACATGTTGATAAGACCTCATAAAATCCCCCAAGAATACTCAACAAGTACAGACATAGACAATAGGCAGCTGGCAAAAAGCAGCACTAAACAAAGAGAAAGGATGTCAATAACAAGTCAGTTCCGTTTCTGCTACAGAAACTGCCAAATATTGTCTATGGGGTTTCTGATAAACTACAGCAAGTCAAAACAGCTAGCCCACCCTGCTGTATGTTCAGCCCATCAAACATGAGGCATTAAGGGCCAGAAAGCTGCCTGCTCGCCTTGCTAATTCTCAAAAGACGCTGTTTCTCAACAACTTTATAGGAAAATGTGCCTGGCAATCCCAGCTACCTGTTTTTTCAATGGAGAGAAGACAGCGGCAGGCCTCATGAGCAAAGACAGGCAACAGTTTTTTACCATCTGCATTCGGCATCTCTCTGGATGGGCGCAAAGAAAGGCTGCACAGCTAAACAAAACAAAACAAAAAACACATAAAGAACAATCCAACAACAGCCATCACAAATGTTCCCTACGTCCTCTTGCTAGGAAACTTATCAGGATGCCACAGGTGCTGACTTGGTACACTCTCTGTATTATCATAATAGGGTTAAGCTGACAAAGCGCATTTCCTCATTCAGAAGTTTAGTTCTGCCCAAGAGGCAATAAAGGATTTAGGGCTGTTCTCCTCCAAAAGGCAGGTTAATACTCTGTCCGAAACGTACAACAGTATATATACAAACAGACACTTAACATGCCTGAACAACGAATTAAAAGCGCTCCGCTTAATGGCAAATCAGCCAGAACGGGAGGCTGAGCAAGCTTGGAGTTGGAGGATAGGATCCCACAAACACACATCCTCCCATCAGCTGCTAATTGAGGACGGCCTCAATCAGGCGAGTTGCGCGGCCCGGCAATGCTAATACTTTAAAGGCATTAAATGCAATATCGATCCGTATCAGATCGCCCGCAAGCGTGGGCCAGGCCCAAACCGGGGCACCTCGGGCTCCAGTCTCGCCGGGCCACTCTGCCCCGCCGCCGTTTGGTGGTGAGGCGGGGGGAAGTTGCTACGAAGAGTCCCCTCCCCCCGCCGCCTCCACCCTGGCTTGCAAAGCGAAGAAGCGCCTGGCTCGAGATGCGGACGCTTCTTCTATACCCACCCTCAGCTTGCAAAAGGCAGGCGGGCGGGCCGGGCAGAGAAGGATTCCCGCCACCACTTCCTCACCCAGCAAGCCACGAAAAGGGCGCCCCCCTCTCCAGCTTTTCCAACTGGTTTACCTACCGCCCGACGCGCGGCTGGCGGCCGAAGAGGGAAGCGGCAATCCCCGGCCAGGAGAACCGACAAGAGCTCCCGAGTCTAACCCAGGGCTCACGTGACAAGGCCATCGGGCGAAACGCGGCTGGTTGAGCCTATGCGTCAATCAAGCGTCCGAAGCCTGTGATTTGCAGAAAGAAGGAAGGAAGGCGGGAGCGTGCTCTCCAGGCTTCTGAGAGATGGGAGGCGGGGGAGAGAGGAGAGGAGAGGAGTGCAGGCCTTGAGTGTATTGGTCGCTCCGGTGTAGCGTTGCGTTCGCCGCGTAACTTGCGTTTTGCTGCTAGCCCGGCGAGGAGGCTATCCGGCTTCCTCCTCGTGATTTCATTGCGGCTTAGCGGCTCGGAGTGTTTCGGGTTCAGATACTTCTGCTCCCTAGAGAAGAAACTTGCCAACGAAGTGAGGAGGTATATACCAAAATTTCACAATGTAAGAGCTTAAAAAAAACCTACGAAAACTCGGACGTAAAAGCCAATTCGGGGAGAGAAATTAGAAGAGCTTCGGAGGAAGATCCAGACAGCCGTAAAGAAAAGTGGAAGCCACCACCAGACAAGTTTGTCAAGCTTCAAAACAAAACAAAACAAAACAAAACAAACATGAAATCAAAGAGCAGGGACCCTGGGTTCAGAAGGACAGACAATTCCTGCCCAGTATGTAATGCTGTCAGGCTGGAAGGATTTATAAAACATTGGGGAACCCAAACCAACTTCAACGGTGCTGCACTTGAGGTAAGAAAACTATACAGGTATCCTCAACAACCACAATTGAACCCAATATTTATGTTGCTAAGTGAGACATTTGTTAAGTGAGTTTTGCCTCATTTTACATTTACATTTTCTTGCCATATTTCTTAAGTAAATCACTGTAGTTAAATTAGTAGAATGGTTGTAAAGTGAATCAAGTTTTCCCATTGACTTCTGCTTGTCAGAAGGTCGCAAAAGCGGATCACAAGACAGGGCCACCATTGTAAATGTGAGTCACTAAGCATCAGAATTTCAATCAGGTATCCATGGGGATGCTACAGCAGTCATAAGTGTGAAAAATGGTCACTCATAAGTCACTTTTTTCAGTGCTGTTGTAACTTTGAACAGTCACTAAGTGAACCCTTGAAAGTCAAGGACTACCTGTATTTCAGACCATTGTTATATATGTAAAAAACCTGGGCACGTCGGTTTGACCCACAACATACTCCTTCCACGTGTGGAGCTTTGGAATCAACAGTAATCACCGCTGTTCTGCCCCAGACATGCATAGGCAAACTCAAACCAAAGTTTTCTTAAACTAGTGTGAACAGTGCTGTATGGTCTTCATGTTAGTTTTGTTGGTGTGTTTAAAGATTATGTAATCATGTATATGTCTGTTCAGACAATCATTGCAGCCTGAGGATGTCATTCCAGCTCCTGTAGAGCAAAACTCTTTGGAGTCAACATTGAATACAGAGGTCATCTCATCCACACAACACCGCATGTCCAGGGACTCAAGTGTCTTCTCACTGCACAGCAGTGATGGTGATGGGGAAGGATCGACCACTGCATCCATAAAGCCCCAGTCCTCAGTCAAGAAAGAAGAAGAAGATGGGAAGGGGCGAGATTCTGAACAGCATTGTGACTCTATGATGGGAGCAGCTTCAAACCTATACTACACGGATGTCCCAGTTGAGCTTCATGTATTATATAGCCCTTTGTGACTTTCTTAGCCAGCTTCCGACAAGCAAAGACAAGGCAGAAGCCAGATTCACTGAAAGACTGCATGATGCACTTAATAATTGCAGTAACCATGACAGAAAAGAACATAAAATCTGGGGCAACTCACTTAACAACCATCTTGGTTAGCAATGGTGTGGGGTCTAGGAAGAGAACCATTGTCCTCCCCCCCCTCCCCCCCGTGAGCTGAGGCAGGCCCCCACGCCCCTGGACTTCTGAAAAAGCATTAAAACATGGCTCTGTGGCCTTGCTTGTGGAACGCAGAGAAACACACAACCTTGGGGCTGGCTGATGCGCTGAGAGGCCTCCCTTCAACTTTTAACTAATTTAAACAACATTTAATTATATCCTTGCCTCCTTGTAAAATTTTAATTTTAAAACCTTAACTTTTATATACTGTTTTTATATTTTAATGTTTTATTGTACAACCAACCAGAGTCCCTCTTTTGAGGGAGATGGGCAGTTCAAAAATGTGGAAACTAGAGAAAGAAGTAAGTTCCATCTACATGCCTCCTGAAACTAGCCCATCTGTGCTAGTTCTATTCTTGATGAGAAGTCAGGGACATACTGTGAAGACTGCAAGGTTAAGACTCATAGATAGATTGCACTGATTATTTTTTTAAAAAAATAGCAGGACTCTGGCCAAAAGTATAATCAAATTTCTGAAGTACAGTATTGAGGCAGGACATTTAGGACATGGTATCATAGCCTATATTGTCAGTTTGGCTAGATCAGGCATGTCAAACACAAGGCTCATGGGCCAAATCCGACCCACAGGGTGCTTAGACTTGTCCCATTGGGCCACCTTGGATCCACCCAGCATCCAAGAAGGGACAGGAAAGACAAGGAAAGACAAAGGAAAGACAAAGAAGGAAAGTTGGGAAGAGAACAAGGAAGAAAAAAGGAAAGGGGAAGAAAGAAAAATGAAAAGGGAAGGAAGGGCAGAAGGAAGATTATAAAGAGAAGGAGGGTGGGCAGGTCTGAGGGAATTTGGCCAGCACAGGTGCCCCTGACTTGAGTGACGTCAAGCTGCCCCCTTCCCCCGAGGTCAAACACAACCCTGATGCGGCCCACAATGAAATCAAGTTTGACACCCCTGGACTAGATGTTCTTTTTGTTGTTCAATTTCAGCTAGCAACTACAGTACTCCCTACTGATGTAAGGTGGGACTTATTTCATGGTAGCTAGCAACCAATTTGACCTAATGCCAACAATTAAGGTTAGACTTCAGTAAAATATCTTGGTTCTTACAACAATGCAAGCATTGTTCAAATGTTCAAAGAAAACAAACGAGCTTATTTCAAAAGGTAAGGTTCTTTGTAGACAAATCCAAGAATGGTGGTTAAGAGTAATTTTACCAATTCAGGGGTCACCCAGGTATGAAAAGCCCCCCCCCCCCCTCATACATTCAAGTAGATGCAAGGTTGAAAAGTTGTTTGCCAACAGAAGTCTGACTCATAAGATCTTTTATAGCACTGGTTCAGGCATGCCTATTTTCCAAAGCCATGCCTCTTCTGAGGGACCTCATTGAACACTTTGTTCTACTCATTTAATCTTTATACAGATGCAAGGGCTGAGGATCTTTCCAGCTTTGGCTCTGAATCAGCTTCTGTAACAGGTGACTGATCACCTGACTGCTCCAGAACTGTAAGCTCATCTTCCCAATAGATGCTGCTCCTTCTAATTCTTATCAGCACCTAGCTGAGAGCCTCCTGATTCCTGAGTTGCATGGTCAGAACCTGTTGCATCCTGGTTCTTTGATTTAAAGTCTTGACTCATTAATCAAGCCCATAATACCAGTACCTAGCCAGCTCAACTCTACAAGATGTGGTTTGTCCATGAGAATGAGGAAAACCTCACCCCCACTAACTTCTGCATACTTCTTCTCCCCCAAACTATTTTGTGAGAATATCCATTGCAATAGAAATTGGGCTTCAGATGTTCTAAGATTTATTTTTTTTAGGATTAAGTGATTATAAAAGGTGGGGAGAAAGACTAGGTTCATACTTATTAAAACAATAACTGGTTTGTAGAAATTTGCATTCAAATTCTTCATTCTAAAGGAAATTGGCAGTGCCAATTTCATTTATTTTCTTCACCTTCTAAAATTAAACTTGTCTTACGATCCCCATTATGTCCTCTGGAGTAAATAATATAAAATTTCAGCGGCAACAAAGACATCAGGACCAAAGACTGCAAATCATAAATCTTTATGTTGAATAAACTGTCCCAGAGCAACCTGGGAAAATCAGACTTGCATTTAATGAGGGCTGGGGAACTATGGCCCTTTTATGACTTGCAGACTTCAACTCCCAGAATTCCTGAGCCAGCATGAAATTCTGGAAGTTAAGTTGCCAAGTCATAAAAGGGCCATAGTTCCCATCCCTGATTTAGTGTAAGAAACCTGTCCCAATAGGTTTCCAGAAAATGTAGGGGGGAGTCTGGTATTTTAAAAAGGGCTTGTGGATCACAGCTAATGTGAGTCAATTCCCTTATTATTCCCACCAAGAATGTTTGGCTAGGAAGCAATGGATGCTAGTTGAATTTCATTCCATCTGCATTTTGTTTGGAATCCTCCAGAGCAAAATGCCTGATTTTGTTCCATTCAGGGACATCTGCAGTCAAGATGGGGATTGATGGCTGCCCTCCAGACTGTAGGCACACATCCTTTTAGGCTCTAGTTATTATCTGAATCAGAAATATTCAGCCCCATTAAAGGTAAATATGTTAATTGCTTAATAGAACCTGATGCTTTTTTGGGTGAGAAATTAAAAGGCTTAGATTTCTTGTGTCCTATTTTTCTTTGTTGGCACTAGTTAACTTTCTCTGTCATCATAATTCTTTTATTTTTTAATAGGTTGTAACATGAAAGCCTTTCGTTTTAAAATAAAGATTAAAACATTAGAATTAAAAAATTTAAAATATTGTTAAATATAGAAAAAAGAAGAAAAAAATATAAAAAGAAAAAATACTTATGAAAAATTTTGAAATATCAAATTTATAAATAAAATGTGCATAGGCTAAGAATAGTTTGCTGGAATGATCAACAAGAATAAAATGCAGTATGTAAAATTTCAAAGCTGCAATAAAATTTTAAAATCAAATCATCCCTCAAGGGAAAGACTACTATAACTGATAAATTGCAACTCAGACAAACAAGTAAGTAGTTAAGTAGGTATACGTAAAAATCCCTCCTGCTGTATAGTTAAAAACAGAAAATTAACAAAGAATATTGCGCAGAGTTAACATGTTTTAGCCTAACACAATTCAAAATATTGGCTAACTTTGGAGTATTTCTCTTTGCTAGAAATCAATCTAATTAATTCTGTATTGATTTATAA